TCACATAGCCAGTGGTGAGGAACTGAATCTGGGCTGTCCCGTTCATTATTTCTGTTAATGTTTGTTTATTTTTGAGAGAGAGGCAGAGTGCAAGCAGGGGAGGGGCAGAGAGAGAGGGAGACACAGAATCCAAAGCAGGCTCCAGGCTCTGAGCTGTCAGCACAGAGCCCGACGTGTGGGCTCAAACCCACAAACAGCGAGATCGTGACCTGAGCCGATGTCTTAACTGATCCCGACGTGTGGGCTTAAACCCACAAACAGCGAGATCGTGACCTGAGCCGATATCTTAACTGATGGAGCCACTCAGGCACTCCTGGGCTTTCTTAACCCCTGCTCTGTCTCCATAGGAGGTAATTGAAGGCTGGAGGGTTGTGGTAGAAATTAACGTAGGATCCTCAGGATTCTAAACATTAAAGACAACAAAGATGCACACGAACCAGGTGATTGATTTTCCCGTACACGTGTCATTTCTGAGTTAGAGCCGCAAGGTATCCCTGCATTTCTCTGACAGGTTGGTGGCCCCCTGGGGGTATTCCCTGGGGTGCCTTTCCATTTTCTATTTTGATAGCGATCTACCAAGAAATTCGAAAGAAGCCTCTTCTGGCCCTTCTGGTCAAGAGCGTGGACTGAGGGCTGCCCTTGAAAAGGCAGAGAGCTGGAAGGCTGGGGCTTGCTTCGCAGGGAACCACAGAGAAATCCTTGCTGAGCCGGCAGTGGGGCTGTGACTGCAGGTTTGTTACAAGGCTTGAGAGCCATCAAGACTTAGCTGACAGCTGAGCCAGGAGCCAGTGGACTTGAAACCCAGTCCTTCCTTGAGTACTTCCCATGGGGCTGGCCTTGGGTGCTCCCCGCTGAGCCTCAGGGCTCCCTGGATTGGAGCCACCTTCCCTATGTCAAGGGTTAAATGTCAGTCACTTAGTGTCTTCCCCAGGCTTAGTAGGTGGGCATTGCCTCCCCGCTCCTCTCAGGTGGGTGCAACCTTTGAGGCTGGAGGGTTCTCCTTGGCCCTGGCGGGGGTGCCGAATTCTCTGGTCCCCGGAAGAAGGCGGGAAAGACTCTGGGGGCATAGGTGCCTCTGCCTGCCTTGTCTCCACCATGGCCCCAGGCTCCAGACTGCGGAGCTAGGAGAATAGGACCTCATGCGGAAACCAGAGCCCAGAGAAGGGAAGTGGCTGTCCCTGTCACATTGGAAAACTCATGATGCCCTGTGACTTCCCATTGGTGCCCCTTCTGCTGCTCCTCATGGCCGTGGCCCCTTGGGCACCCCCTGCAGTGCGTGCCTGCCCCCCAGGCCGCCTGGGCTCCCTTTGCCCTACGAGACTCCCTTCCCCGAGTTCCCAGTCAGGGCCAGGATGGCCGCAGGTACCTCTTCCGAGGACAGGGTTGTGTCCCACAAGTGCACTTCTGACCCTCAGAGGGATTGCAGCCGGGGAGCGTGAGGGGAGGGCTGGGGCCCCCACCACCTCAGGCTGGTCCTCTGCAGCGAGCGGGCTTTTCTCCCCACTACAAAGAGAGGCTTTGCCAGGTAGGGCACAGGAGGCTGCCGACCTCTCGTCTAGATCAAGCAGTGGCTCACGACACTAGGGAAAAGATCCGGAATCATCATGTGTACCTGGAAGGGTAGGGTGTGAAACCCTCGCGTTCAGGTGCGTTCAGATGCAGGTCAGGAGCCAGCAGCCTCACCGTCCCCTGGGACTTGTGAGGACTACCGAGTTTCAGGCCCCACCCAGCACTGCTGAAGCGGAACCTGCCTTTTTTTTTTTTTTTTTAAATGTTTTATTTATTTCTGAGAGAGAGAGAGAGACAGTATGAGCAGGGGAGGGTCAGAGAGAGAGGGAGATACAGAATCTGAAGCAGGCTCCAGGCTCTGAGCTGGCAGTCAGCACAGAGCCCGATACGGGGCTCGAACCCATGAACTGTGAGATCATGACCTGAGCTGAAGTCGGATGCTTAACCAACTGAGCCACCCAGGTGCCCCTTTTGACTACTTCTTATAAGGAGAATCATGTAGTATTTATTTTTTTTGTTTTTTTATTTAATTTTATTGTTTTTAAATGTTTTTATTTATTTTTGAGAAAGAGAGGGAGAGTGCATGCATGTGCATGCAAGTCGGGAAGGGGCAGAGAGAGAGGGAGACACAGAATCCGGAGCAGGCTCCAGGTCGGAGCTGTCAGCATAGAGCCTTATGTGGGGCTTGAACTCACGAACTGTGAGATCATGACCTGAGCCTAAGTCGGGCACTCAACCGACTGAGCCACCCAGGCGCCCTGCAGCATTTATCTTTGTGGGGACTTAGCACAATGTCCTGGAGGTTCATCCATCTAGCAGATTGCGGAATTTCCTTCCTTTTTAAGGCCTAATAATAGTGCTTTGTGTAGCTAGACCGCATTTTTCTTATCCCTTTATCTGTGGATCGACACTTGGGCTGTTTCACATTTCAGCTTCCGTGAATGCTGCTGCTGTGAACACTGGTGTCCAAGTATCGCTTTGAGACCCCGCTTTTGGGTGTCTACCCAGATGTGGAATTGCTGGGTCACATGTTAATTCTATCACATAGATTACTTTTATGACAAAACAAAATGGCACAGGCATTTCAGGGTGGAAAACCTTGTCAGGTTTCCAGCTGGCAGTGCCGGGCCAGGTAGCGTCGTTGGATGCAGTACTCGGAAGAACGAAGAAAGAGAGCCTGACTCGTCCATCCTGGCCTTAGAGAGAGAAGAGCGGAAGCCGAACACGTTACACAGGGAGCAGGATTTATTGACAGATGTAGGCGTCAGGAGAGGTGCGTGTGGGGGTCTGGGGCAGGTGGGCCCCCCGCCGTGCCGCATGACGCTCCGGCATGGCCTTGTGGGGTGGCAGCGACATGCAGGCCATCCTTTCCCAAACCCCTCCGGAAACAGGGACAGTGGCAGCGTTGGGAAGTCAGTGTATCACCGTGTGTCCCTGGCGTAGCTCTCGGCTGCCCTTGTCGCTGGTTCTCGAGGGAGGCGGGAGCCTCGTGTGCTGGCCTGGTCATGACGGAGGCTCATAGTTCCACCAAGCAGTGTCCAAATGAGAACAAAACCGACACAAAACTTGTTATTTTGGTCCGTGAGGCCCTTTGCGCCTGCCCCCGCCTGCTTGTCTCATCTTTACTTCCTCTTTTTTGCTTTCTGCTCAAGTCACCGCTGATTTCCCTGTGGTCCTGGAAGACCAGAAACCAAGCGTGTTCCCGCCCCCGGGGACCCCCTGGCCGTCTGCTCTGCGTGGCACGCGGGTCTGCCGTAGCCCTCCAGGCTCGTTCCTGGTCCTCCCGGAGGGCTCAGCTCACCTGGCGCCCGTGCGGAGAGGCCTTCCACCGCCGCCCTGGCCGACGGGGGCTCTTGCTTCCTTCCTGTCTCAACAGCCCATCTGGTTTTTCTTCCGAGTATCTTTTTTCTCACGTCAGCCCATTTGAGGTTTACTTGGGTGCTCTTGGTTTTTTCCCCAATAGAAGGTTTGCTCCCAGATAAGCTGGCTGTCATATACCAGTTACCTGCTGTGTCCCCAGCACTTGGGGAGCATTGCCTGGCACACGGGAAAAGGCAGATGAACACTGAGTGGGTCATGCACACAGTGCTGCCCCCCTGGAGCTTCACCTTCCCCGGCTGCGGTGTGGTGGGGGAGTTGGGGGTGTCCTCATCCCTTGCTTATAGGGCGGTTGTGGAAATTACAGGACGTAAGGCACGCAGAGCACTGAGTTTAGTGCCCGGCACGCAGGAAGTGCTCAACACAGGGTCATGGTAGTTATCAGCCCAGTGGCCCTGCTGTGACTGGGATGAATTGCTGACCGTCTCTGAGGTGATACCCAGCTGGCACTCCCTGGCAAAGCCCCTGTTGGGTTGCCCAAGAGAGAAGCAGCCGGTGGCACTTCCGGGGTTGTGGTGTGGGGTGTCTACTTTCGTACCTCTGAATGTGTCTCGTCTGAAATGACTGCGTTCTGTGTCTGGCGTATCTTTACATGTAGGTGCGCCTCTGTTGTTTGGGGTCCCCGGGCCTCACGAGGGACCGCAGATGTAGCTCTGACAGGGGTCTGCTTGGTGCTTTAAAATGTCCCTGCCTCCGACCCTCATACCTGGAAGTTCAGCATGTGCTACGCGTACTGCCTAGGTATGCTTTTGGCCGCAGGTAGCAGCCCGGCATATAGCGGTTTGAGCAAACAGGGTTGCTTGCTGTGTGAGAGGCAGGAGATTCCTGGTATTGGTTCAGCTGTGAAATGGCATCGGGGCTGGTGTCTCTGTGATTCACTTGACCTTCTCGCCAGGCTTGTTGCTTCATGGCTGCCCCCAGTGTGTTTATGGTGAAGGCGGGAAGGGTGGAAGGAGGAATGAAGCCTCTAACATCTGTTCTGCTGAGAAAAGGAGTAATTCGGTGGTGCAGCTTGTACTGCGGGAGGTGGGCTGGGAAGAGGGTGTTGGGGATGACGGTGAGGTCGGCCAGTGGGCCGTGCCCACCACGCTGGGGAGCCTACGCTGTAGTTACCCTGTGGGTTTTCTGCTGGGGGCAGTTTTGTCCCCTGGAGGACACGTCTGGAGACATTTTTGTTGTCACAACTGGTGTGTGTGTGTGTGTGTGTGTGTGTGTGTGTGCGTGCGCGCGCTCGTGCTTTTGGTATCTGGTGGGTGGAGGCCAGGGACACTGCTAGACACCCTGGCATTCACAGGGCAGCCCCACCACAGAGGGACCCGGCCCAAACGTTAGGAGCGCGCAGGTGGGGAAGCCCTGGCTTGGACTATCCAGGACGCAGGACTATCCAAACTATCTTCATGTTTAGGGAACATGAGTTCAGGTGCTTTCCTGTGACGCATGACAGTCAGATGGCCTGGCTGCATTGTGACGATGTGGATGATCGATCCCTGGTCTCGTTGATCTCCTTACAGAGGGAGCTGATGCTAGGTGGGGACAGCCATCCACCAGGTGGCAGAAAGTATTGATAAAAGTCTTGTGTCCAGCAGAGCTAATGAATCCTTTTTGCATTTTAGGATCACAGAACAATGACCTGAAAAGACAGTTTCTGCTGGAGCGACTCCTGGATGCTGTGAAACAGGTAAGAGGAAAGCTCACTTGTGACCCTGGGGTCGAGTCACGGTGTCAGGCAGTCGTCTCTGCCCTTCCGTGGGCACGGGCTTAACTCTCACTTTCTGGGAGCAGCGAGGCTCGCCGCGTTCCCCGGGACATGGCAGAGCAGGCTGGGCGGTCCGCAGGGGTGAGGAGGGGCGCCCGCCTCCTGACCTTGTAACGCCTTCGGAGGACCCCATCTCTCACAACGTCGCCGTGAGCGGAGCCTCGCTGTCTGTTTCACAGTCTCTCTTCCGAGCACTTGTGTTTTAGGGCACCTCTTCGCGAGCTGAGGTGGTGGGTGAAGGTAGCACAGGCACAGCAACAGAGGCAGATGGAGGGGTGAAGCTGCACCCAGGGTCGGGTGGGCCCTCCGGGAGGGCTCTGCTCTGATTCCTCCATGCTGGTTTTGGTGTCCGGCCTCTGGCTGGGCGCGGAGGCCAGCTTTGGCTCGCGGCTGGCATCAGTGTGCTCGCCTGGCCTGCGCGTGCCACACGGGCATCGTTCAGTGCATGTTTGTCACGTGCCAGGCCCTCGGCTACGGGCTGCATGTTTAGTCCTTCCAGCCAGCCTCTGAGACAGCCCCTGCAGTTGTTTCCATTTGACCCACAAAGAAGCTGAAGCTCAGAAAGGTCCAGCGATTTGCTTCAGGAGTTATAGGTAGTAAGCAGCAAAACGAGCATCCAAGCGGGGGAGTTGCAGGTAGCTCACGTTTTGGAAAGGTGACTGATAGTTATATGCGTGTACAACGTAGGGCGGTAAGTACTTGTATAGAAGTGCGTGTCGAGTGTGGACGTGAACCCAGAGAACTTGGCATCTCTCTGGCCTCCTGGTGTCCCGATGTGGTGTATGCTGGAAAGGACGCAGGCTCAGGTGGAGCTGGAGTCGAATACCAGCTTCACCTCCTCTATGCTGTGTGTGATGGGGCCCTCATCCAGCCTCTCTGAGCATCCCTCTTCTCTGTAATCGGGTCATTGATCTCTAGAGTGCTGTGGAGGGAATTGCTATTATTAAAGCAGGGAAAGGGCCCAGCGCCCAGGTGACAGCAACGGGGCCCACGTTGTTCATTTCTTTCTTTGTTCCGGAAGTAGGAACTATAACAAAAATGAAGAAACCGGTGGAACCACTTTACATATATGTATATATTTTTAAGTTTATTTATTTTGGGGGGAGCAGAGGGGAAGAGAGAGGTGGAGAGAATCCCAAGTAGGCTCTGCCCTGTTAATGCGGAGCCCGATGCAGGGCTTGAACTCACCTGGAGATCATGGTCTGAGCCTAAATCAAGAGTTGAATGCTCAGCCGACTGAACCACCCAGGTGCCCCTGGCACCACTTTAAGTGTAGCCGTTAAAGAGAAATAAGTTGCAGCTCATGCCCAGAGCTGCTGTTCTTATTGTTGTTAATTACTTTAGTGGGTAAAAGTATACATATGTCTTTTAAAAATCAATCTTACATATAATTGAGGCATGCAATAAAATACACTAATTTTAAGTGTGCAGTTCCAGGAGTTTTGACAAATGTGTCATTTATTTATTTATTAAAATGTTATATTTATTTCTGAGAGAGAGAGACAGTGTGAGCAGGGAGGGTCAGAGAGAGAGGGAGACACAGAATCTGAAACAGGCTCCAGGCTCTGAGCTGTCAGCACAGAGCCCAACGTGGGGCTTGAACCCACGAACTGTGAGATCATGACCTGAGCTGAAGTCGGATGCTCAAACTGAGCCACCCAGGTACCCCGACACATGTGTCATTTAAAATCATCCATCCATCCATCTATCCAACCTTTGGATGAATACGTTCTGGAACCTTGTGGGCCTGCTACCCACAGTGGAGACTGCACACCTTAAAACAGAGTAGTGGCAAGTGCTGCTGGCTGTGCAGAGTTGTGAATTGAATGATAAAACTAAAAATGGTTAAAATGGCGAATTTTATGTTATCTGTATTTTGCCACAATTAAAAAAGAAAGAATGGTTTGTTTTTGTATCTGCCCTGGGTGAATTGTCATTCGGCACAACCAGATGATATGTTTGAGGCTTGAATCATGCTGCCATAATTTTATAGCCATTCATCACAACTTTGGGCCCTTTCCAAAGGCACCCATCATCACAGATTTGTGTAAGTATTAATTGTCACCTGTTGGGAGCTCTGTGTTCACACAGTCAGCTGCTGACATACAGAAGCTTCTAGAGAATCTGCACAAGGCTGTGTTCTTTTGTTTTCCTATGAGCATTGTTTCCCCACAAGCCTCCCTTCTGTACAAGTGGGAGATGAGGGCTTCCCGTAAATGGCAGCTGGGAGGCTGGGGTGTCCACCGTCTCACATCTTGGCTTGACGCCCGGGGCACGGGGACACCCTGACCCAGCACCTGGGGTTTCTGGCCCCGCGTGTCCCGTGACCCCGAAGGCCTCTGTGGGCTGTTTGTGATGTATGAGCGTCCCATCCCGACTGCCAATCTCAGCCGCTTCTTTTTCCGCGCAGTGCCAGATCCGCTTTGGAGGGAGGAAGGAGATCGCCTCGGATTCCGACAGCAGGTAAACACGTCGCTTCTGAAAGAATCTACAGTCAAGACCAAAAAGGCGGCCAGATATGAGTTGCTTCTGTATTGTGTCTGCAGCCGAGGGGTGCGGCGATTCAGATTCTAGAATCCTGTCTAGAGGATTCGCGGCTTCCTGTGGTACTCCTTCGCCTAGTCCGTGCTGAGCGAATCACTTGAGATACCTTTCTGCATAGTTACTTTCAGGGTAACTGATAACAATGGCATTGCAGACACCTAAGCAGCGCGAAAGGAGAACAGGCTGTTACATAGCCATTAAATTGATGTCTGCACAGCATCGGCTTGAAGCTGAGAAGTGCATATGTAGTAATTTACAAATTATGTGTTAAAATAAAAAGAGCAGAATATAAAATGTAGATGCAGAGTGACGCTAGCTGTGTTAAACCACTTCACCTGGTATGTGGAGAACATACCAGAATGTTGATGAGGTAATTCTGGGCCTAAGAATATTGGGAATCTTTACACTTTCTGATATTCTTCATATTTTATACTGTGATTGCTTGTTTCTTTTTTTTTTTAATGTTTTATTTATTTCTGAGAGAGAGAGAGAGACAGCATGAGCAGGGGAGGGTCAGAGAGAGAGGGAGACCCAGGATCTGAAGCAGGCTCCAGGCTCTGAGCTGTCAGCACAGAGCCCGATGCGGGGCTTGAACTCACGAACCATGAGATTGTGACCTGAGCTGAAATCGGCCGCTTAACCGACTGAGCCACCCAGGCGCCCCATTGTTACTTTAATTAAAAAAAAAAAAAGTCCAAAAATTGCCATCAACCTTTGTGACGTCAGAAGGACTGACGTAATTGTGTGAGCTTCTCACATCGACTGGGAGGAGACGGAAATGCTTTGGCAAAGGTAAGAGACATACAGGCATTTGCTTTGTGAAATCATTCAGGGCTGATTCACGGTGGCGGGAGGAACATTCCTGCAAAGGAAGGGACGTGAAGGGCACTTGCTCGCTCAGTGCCTGTGTCCTCCTGGGGGCTGGCAGGAGCCCCCGCCCGCTTGCCCCGCCCCGCCTGGCAGAGCTCCTTCCTGGTCTGTCCTTTCATACCCATGTCTGTGACACACTTTACCAGCTGTGGGCGAAGTGCATGGCACCACATTGTCCTAGAGTTGCGGGGACTGTTTGAAATGGGTGCCGATTGAAAACTGCACCATCCCCCGCCCCCCCGCACGCGTCCTGTGTCTTCTTTGCCTAGTTTTTCTCCCTGGCACTTAGCAGCAGCTAATAGACTGCACGTCAGGCTTGGTTATCGTGTTTGCTTCTGTCTCGGTGTCATTATGTCAGCTTCGTGGGGATGGGGAACTTTGCCGTCTTGCTGTTCACTGATGTAACCCTGGAAGTGCGTGGAAGGTGCTCAGGAAAGATCCTTCTGGGTGAGCGCCTGCACCGCCTCATACCATAGTCAGGTGTTTAAATTAACCTGTGGCACCATGAGGCTCGTGAGCTTTGAGGGCAGAATGGTGACTCCTCTAGTTTGTATCTCTCCCTTCTGCACAGGAATTTGGTGCCTGTCGCACATTTGGTTCTCAGTATGTGGTTGTCGCATTGGAGCATTAGATTGATTCATTGTTTTGGTCGTTCTTTTTTTTTTCTTTTTAAAGGATAAAGTTACTTTGATTATAGAACTTGCCATGTTGCATTGCAATGACTGGTTTAGGAAAGCTTTTGCCCCTAGACTGTGAACATTTAGACAGTAGGCCCTGGGTCCTGACTGCTGGCCTTCCCAGCAGAGTAGCTCACATGCAGTAAGCAAAGAGTGAGTAAGTCTGTACATGTTTGCTGGAAGATAAAATAGCCATTGAAAGTGCCAGATCAAAAGCTTTATCCTTGAGTACTGTATCCTTACTGAGATTCCTTCCTTCCTTCCTTCCTTCCTTCCTTCCTTCCTTCCTTCCTTCCTTCCTTCCTTCCTGTATCAGTGTCTATTTCTTTTTTTTTTTTTTTTGATGGCATTTAATTTTGAGAGAGAGAGAGAGACAGAGCATGAGCAGGGGAGGGGCAGAGAGAGAGAGAGGGAGACAAAGAATCTGAAACAGGCTCCAGGCTCTGAGCTGTCAGCACCGAGCCCAATGTGGTGCTTGAACCCACGAACTGCGAGTTCATGACCTGAGCCGAAGTCGGTTGTTCAACTGACTGAGCCACACAAGTGCCCCAGTGTCACTTTCTTTATTCTGTTTCATTGATCTTTTTGTCTCTCCTTCCACCCATATCATATGGTTTTGATAAGTGTAAATATAGAATAATTCTTTTTTATGATTTGTACTTTATATGTTGTTCTTGAGGCTCTACTAGGGGCTTGGCCTGGGTCAGCACAGGGGTCCTGATTTGGGGACATAAGGTCCCCCTGCATCAGAATCATCTGGGAGGCTTGCTTATTCATTAATAATACAATTCTCCCTCCCATCCTAGACCACGTGCATGTATGTGTGTGTGTGTGTGCTTGCGCATGTGTGTGTTCATGCACATGCATGCACGTGTGTGCGGATGGGTGAGGCCGTGTGTGCTCAGGGCTTCTTCATCCCTTTTTCTTTCATAATTGTCCTGTTCTTTTGTTGAGAGAGAGAATCCATCTCTACACTAATAAATTTTTATTGGGTAAAATATTATGTTTTATAGTAGAAGTTAAAAAGTTAATTCCCTCAATGAGAGCTGTGGTTTATGCCCAAATGGAGTATGCTGCTCTATGTTAATAATAATAGTTACCACTTCTTATTTATTTATTTATTCATTTTGAGAGAGAGAGAGAGAGAGAGAGTGAGCGAGCGCATATGTGCAGCACAGGGGCAGAGAGAAGGAGAGACAGAATCCCAGGCAGGCTCCACACCATCAGCGCACAGCCCGATCTGGGGCCTGAACTCATAAACTGTGAGATAGTGACCTGAGCTGAGATCAGGAGTCGGGCGCTTACCCACCTGTGCCACCCAGGTGCCCCCGTGGTTACTGCTTCTCATGTCTCCGGACACTCCTTGTTCATGTGATGCTTAGTCTTCTGCACAGTGTCTGGAGCGGCGGCGCCATTCCTTCCTGGCAGATGAGGAAACACACTCAGGAGAATGACCAGCTGGCATGAGACGTCTGAGCGAGTTAGAGTCGCAAGTGGGACCCGGTTTCTGGGGCTCTAGAGTCCGTTCTTCCCGTGTTAAGCTGCATCTAGTGACTGTGTCGGTTTTGAAGCTGCATTAAAAAAATCGTTTTTCCCCCACGTCGAGGGTCCCTTCTCCACATCAGAGTCTCGGTCTTTTCTTTGAAATATGTTTGTGTAAAAGTGGCACCACCTTCATGTAGGAAAGGCCACATCGTTGTCCTTATTCTGTGAGAAAGCTTAACCTTGAAGTTAGCATTCTGTTGTGGGGTCTGAAAAGATAGATGAGTCCCCTTCCTTCTGCACCCTGCCAGACGGCCCAGCAGTAGAGTCACCTCACCTTTGTCACGTCTCTCCCACCGCCCCCTGTCACCCTGTCCCAGCCACCACACCTCCCGGAGGACCGCTGCCGTCGACGGACTCCCCGTCTTCCTTCGTGTCCTGCTTCCTCTGCACGGCGAGACCTGTGCACAATGCAGTCACTCCGCCCTCGAGAGCCTTCCCCTGGCTTCTCTTCGCTTCTTTGGAAAAGACTCGCATCCCTGACACAGGCTGACTCCTTGCTCCAGCCACCCTGGCTTGGCCTTTTCTGTTTTTGTTTTGTGTGTTTTTAAAACCTCTTAATCATTGTCGGAGAAATCTTCAGATTCCTGACACCAGTTCTCCCCCGGCCCCTGCCAGACCCCGAAGTCCTGATCATCTGGGTCTCTTTTCCTTGCTCTGTACCTTGGATCTGCAAACTTTCTGGGGGGGTTGTCCTTTGTGACCCATGCTCAATGCTGTCATAGATTGGAAATCTCTGTTTCAGATTACGCATTTTTATGGTGGATTGATTACATTTATCCACTCAGCTACATGACAAGCTGGAAATCTGTTTCCCTACAACATGTCCACAGTGCCTTGCACATAGTAAGTGCTCAATAAATACTTATTGGATCACTCATTTGTTCAGCAGTTAGTTGCTGCATGACTAGCTGGTGTCAGGTTCTGGGTTGGACACTGGGGCTTCTCAGATATTTCAGAAGCGTTTCTACCCCTCTGGTGGCTTCCTTTCCACTGGGGAAGATGCTCCAGTGAGGCAATGGTTACAGAATGTGACTTGAGGGTTACGCCTAGGAGGCTGTGTATGTGCCCTGGACAGGCTGGGGTGAGAGTGCTCTGGCTCTTGGCTCTCGGTACCTGGCTTTGAGTCTGGCTCTTCCCCTTTGTGGCTGAGCCACCTGCCTTACTTCTCAGAACCCAAGAATTAGGTTTCCTGTGATATTGTGATTCAAATAGGAAACATATTTGTTCTTTGCCATACTTGGCCCTGAGCTCTAAAACCTCTGGAATTTCCAGTTGAGGGTGGTAAAGGTGTCTTCTGTTATGCGAATGCAGTGACTTTTAGAAAGTCCCAAAGATTGGGGATGGATTGCCAGGAGGACTAGCCATGCTATTAGAGCCTTGGAACTTTCTCCCTGCCCCAGGGAGAGGTGAGGGGCTGGAGATGGAGGTCAGTTGCCAGCTGCCTGTGATTTAATCAGTCTTGCCTGTGTCATGAGGCCTTCATAAAACCCCAAAAGGACAGGGTTCAGAGAGCTTCTGTGTTGATGAGCGCAGGGAGAGAGGCGCACCCGGGGTGGGCACGGAACCTGCATGTTCTCTCCTTTACCTGGCCCCTCGCAGCTCTTCCCCCTGGTTGCTCCTGGGTTCACACTATCCTTTTATAATAATGGTTTATAAAGTAAGTGAAATGTTTCTCTGAGTTCTGTGCGCTGCTCTGGCAAATTAATCTAACCCACAGAGGAGGTCGTGGGAATCTTCGAGGTACATAGCCAGTCAGGCAGAAGTACAGGTGACAACCCGGGCTTGTGACCGGCATCTGATGTTGGGGCAGATGTGTGCAGTCTCGTA